AGGTTTAGGGTTTGGAGTCTAGGGTTTCCCAAAATTAAGGGTACCCTTTTGGGGGGGATCCCTATAGGTATAAGACTTTTGCGTCTATATATATATATATATCCCCCTCTTCATGGAAACCCCAAACTCCAATATGCTTTGTGACTGCAAAATTAAAGGATTGTCCTCGACCATGGACCCTAAACCCTAAACCCTAAACCCTTAGCCCCCTCAACGTGCACATCTGGTCTGGCGCACCACAAACGGCCACCAGCGGAAGTTGTGGGTGACAGCAAAGTCCATGCACCTTGCTGTCACAAACGGTGTACCAGGATGGGCTATTAGACCTTAAGGGTACCTTATTCAACTCTTATTAGGGTCCTAATAGGGAATTTTAGGGGTCTAATAGCCCATAGTGGTAGGGCTTAGGGTTTGATGTTTAGGGCCCTAAATCCTGAACCCTAAACCCTAAACCCTAAATCCTGAACCCTAAACCTAAACCCTCAAACCCTAAACCCTAAACCCCAAAAAACGCTTTGGGTCGGGGTGTGGGAGGAAAAGTCTCTAGCTTCCAGGGCTGGCTTTGGAGGCCCCGTAGGGTCTAGGGCTGAGGGTTTAGGGTTGTTTTTCCGCCAGAACTGCACGCCATCGAGCCTGAGCCTCAATCCAAAATGTCTCAAGCCTGCTGTTCCCTACGGGGTGGGGTTCAGGAGTTTAGCACGCTGAGCAGGCGTTCAGGAACCCAACCCCTGCAGAGCCATCTCAACACGTCTCTTTGGGATGTGGACCAAACATTTGGATACCTGTTGTGGTTGCAGGTTTGACGGCCCAAAGGGTCTTCAAAAAAATGACTTGCCAAGAACAAGTTCGAGCGACAACATAAAGACGAACACGTTTCACGGCTTCGCGCTTTAGGTCATACATGAATATCAACCAGACAGGCGGAATACAGGATCCCCTGGTTGTAAATCTCGTGGATGGCACCATGCACAATCCACTAATCCCTAAGCCCTATACCCTAATACAAATACTCTCAACCAGCTACACCTAACCCCTCGAGTTACAACTCTTGGCACCGGTCCCCACAAGCGAATCCTAGGCCCTACAGCATAGATTTGAACTGTTGGGCCCCTTGGCCCTTCCTTCCCAAAGCGCGAAACACACCGCAAGTAATAAATATACCCTACATGACACTTGGACCCCTAGTACAATTTGTTGTATATTCCTTAAGCAAGGAGCATCGGGCTCCCTTCCAAATCCCTCAAGCAAGGCCCAAACTGGCGAGTCCAGTCCTTGCAGAACTAATCTGCCTCTGCGATTCTCCTGCAGAATGCGAGGTCTCAAGGCTGCAGGAGTTCCCTGATGTTTGCTGGGAAGATGGTAAAGGTACGCCTGTAGCTGCTTCTCTTGGGCTTGTCAGAAAAACTCATTCCCTGTGCTTCCCAAGAAGAAATACTGTGTAAAGAAACTGAAGCAGTGACCTCGGGTATGGAATGTTTTCTGCATGTCCTCTTGAATAAGTGGGAACTCCACGAGACTTGGGAGAAACAGCGGGGGATGCTTCCACACTGCGTGCTCACAGCGCGATGCCACAGTGCGCTTCATGGTGCAAACTACCAGAGACATCATCTTTAACGGCAGCCGGTCCGTTGCAAAAAAAGGAGAGAAACAGCCCAGCGCATGCAGGCTGAGGATTCTAGTGCTCACACTCCATGGAGAAGATGGAACCCTTTTGCTCTTTGCCTTGCTGCCCTAGTTATAATCAATACTACTCAAAAGAAAGACTCAAACCAAAACCCCGACCTCTTCAGACCGCCGGCCCGCGTAACTCTTCCTACACAACCGCGCAACTTAGTTCCCGACATGCTTGACGCAAGAAATATCAAACACAGCAATGAAGGAACATCTAAGAATGGGCCCAGGATTCGAGGACGCCTGATAAGAGGGGACCTGAGGAGGCAACATCCCTGAGATTTGCCTTCTGAACAAACGCCTGATGTTTCTCCTGCTCCTCCGTGTCTAGCATACGGCCAGAGCATTCAGCATTCAGGGCAAAGTTGACCGTAGAACCCTAAGACCTAAACCCTGAACCCATATGCCCATGCATGACCCCTATATTACCCTACCCTAAACCCCGTCCGGAGAGAGCTCGTAGAACAACTTCGACTCAACTAAGACGACCAGCGCCGAACCTCACGGGATGTATGCAGAAAGATATGTATATGATCTGCAAGAAATAGTAATCAGCATAAAAAATGACAATGATAGTGAGAATGTTGTCGCATGACCGTGTGTAACAGTTGAATTGTTCTTGTGGGTATGTATGTATGTATGTATGTATGTATGTATGTACATATATATATATATGTATATACATAAGAGTACACTGCAATTTAAAAATGCAAAATGTGTGACATGCAATCTGTGAGATGTACTATATAACATACAGCAGAACATTTGAGCGTACTACAAAACATGTGTATGCAACATGCTTGTACGGATGTACACCTACGCATAGAACACATAATGGGCATCATGTATGTAGCATGATGTGTTGCGGTCTGGCAATGTATGTATAAATCTCTATATACATACACAGAGGCGCGGGGCTATGGGTTTTTGAGATGAAGACTCTGGAATAGAATCCCCATTCTTGCATTTCGCAAATGACCACTCTGAGTTTGGAGCAGCTTAAGCTTCTGAGACACGGGCTTCTACGGTTTAGGTTTAGGGTTTAGGGCACCCTGATCTCCAAACTGATGGACACTCCAGGCAAAAGTGGCTGCTCTGGTACGCGCTTGTATCACGCTAGGAGGCAATCTGCATAGACACCCTTTCAAAAGGATTCATACTAGCCCACCAGGATTCAGATCAAGTCCGTTGCCTAACATGCGCGGTTTAGGTTTTAGGGTTCCCTCAAACAGGTAACGAACACCAGTGGCCTCTAACCCTGGACAGTTGATCCCTTGACTCTCAACACTAGCCGAGACTTATTTCTCCAGTCCACAAAAGGGGGCCGGTTAGGGTGCACTGAGACCTATCCCATCCTGGCTTTGTCCTTACCTAACCCAAAAATTGCATCTGGCATGTGGGGGACGGGATACCAGCCAAAGCTACCCCGGACTTGGTATCCTTTGCCGAACGAACATGGCACCCAAAAAACGGCTCTACTAGAACTATAGTCCTTTGAGGAAAGGCCTAAGTAGGGTTCATGTGAGTCTGGAGGAGGGAAAATCTGTTTCAAGACCCGAAATCTTACAACCCTGCACCCCTCGAAACCCGAACACTACATAAACCCTAAAGCCTCATTCTGCACTATCTGCCTGTGCTGACCAGAAAGTTCGGGCACTTGAAGTCATCCTCGCTTGTGGCAGGGGGCTGTTGGGGACTGCAAAGGGGTTTGGGACTTTGGGCTCTAATTTTGGGATTGGGAGGCTAGGGTTGAGAAAGGGAGGACCTCGCAAACCCTAGAGCCAATCCTGAGCAATAAGCAACAAAAAACACAACAAAGAAGCATAATGCAGGGACCGGGTAAGCTCTCCAACTTCTCCTGAGGAAGCTGAGGATTTCACGCTGAACATCAAGGGACCACTTCAGCACGATGCAGGCATGCATATGAAGTTTCTCAACATTGGGGGCTCCTCGAAGACCCATTGAATGTATGAGGAGTACAAAGGAATTCTGGGTGTCGCTATGAATGATAAGCAATTGTCTAAGGCGAACTTTGAGAAACTCCCATATCCGAAGCCTTGATACTTGCGACCATATCTATTCTTGCATTCTATCCATGGCCAACTGCCGACAAGCCCATTGAGTTCATCGATTAGAAAACCCAGCGGTCCTCTACTCCGACACCAGCGCTGATTCCTGTGGGCTCGTAGTCCTGTGGTCAAGGCTTTGAGGCTTTAGATAGAGGATAAGCGACAGCAAACAACGTCTTCTGGGCTTTCTTTTTCATGTCTCAAACGGGTACACTCGTTTCAGCTGAGCAGCACGGTTTTCTGTGAGCACCGCGGGTAATGATTTCGGTAGTTCAGTTTGGAGTGTGCCCGGCTAACTGTTCAAGCGGTTGAGGTGTTGGCCTTCAGGATGTTACACTTCAGGCTACTTCAAGGCAACATAAAACCCACACAACGCCACCTATGAGCTACAACCTGACCCCTCAACCAGAACAGTTTGCCACCTACACACTAGCATCTGCCTCTCCATCCCCATCGGCTTTCTTGATGACTCTAACCGTGGAACCCTAAACCTCGAGACTACACCCTCATTCCCCAACCCTTACCTGAACCCCAAACCCCTAAATCCCAACCCCCACATGTCATAAACCCCACAGCGACAAGAGACAAAAAAGAAAAAAAAACAAAAAAGCCCAGCCCCCACAGCCGCCTCTCCATCCTCATTGGCTTTCTCAAAGGAGATGGATTTCACAGAGCCCGCCAGGAGGTCCTCAAACCAGGCCTGAACCTTGGGAACTGCTTTGGGTTTAGGGTTTAGGGCTCGGGAAGTGCTGAAAGGTTTGCCACTGGCATCGCGACTGACACAGGATTTAGGTTGGAGTTTCCCGCGTTCGTTGTGGGTGGGAAGAACAGCTCTTCGAAGCAGCGCTGCTGCACAAACCCTCAGCAGGTACATTACGAAAAGTTAGTGGTATGAATGAAAGTAAGTATAAGGAACCATGGGATATCAACTGGCTTTATCTTGGGCTTTTGAGAAATATTGACGAAATTGAGGAGATGTAGGGTCTAGTTTTTTGGCTACTGCCTGTCGAGAGGATTAGCTCTCATAGAATCACTGCATCGCCGGTTCTTTTTCCGAAAAGAGGAACCCTGGCCAGCTGAATGGCTGCGAGCAGGACATGAAGGAATGGATTACCGCTCTTTTTCTTATGATCCAAAACCCTAAACCCTAAACCCCCCAATAGTGGTTCCCATCCTCTTGTCCATTCCTTCATTCCGTACTGGCAACGGGTGAGGTAAGTGAAACAGCGAAGGTCGCTTGCCTACACATGGCTGCCGGAGCTACGGCAAGCAGGCGGATTCCTCGCCGGCGGGTCCTCGCAAGAAGGCGGTGGAAGATCTCCATCAAAAGCAGGGGCTCAAGATTATGGTCATTAGGGTATGGTGCTTGGGGTGTAGGGTCTTGAAAAATTTGAAAACTTGGCTTTGGAGTCGGGAATGGTCCTAAACCCTTAAGCCCTGAACCTTGAACCCTAAATCCCCAAATTCCTAAACGATGAACCCTCAACCTTCAACCCTAGATCCTAAACCCTAAATCCTAAACCCGAAACCCTAAACCCTACGCCCTAATCCCAAACTGCAGTCAGATCCTCCTGGAATCAAAGGCCCACCACACTTCCTTCGCCATCCGCAGACATCTGCCCGTAACTCCGCCAGGCCTTCTGGTCGCTTGGAAGTTGATGGGTTTAGGGTTTACAGTTAGGGATTAGGGTTTGGAGTTTAGGGTTTAGAGTGTAAGGTTTAGGGTTTATAGTTTAGAGCTTCAGGCGTAGAGTTTAGGGTTTACGGTTCAGGATTTGGGGTTTAAGCGTTTAAGCTTTAAGTAAGCCACCTTCGTAAAGGTTATCTCAAGTACGGGGTGGGCTGTCGGCCCCAGTTAGAAGGGCCCACGAAATCCCATCAACCTCTAAGCGTTCAATCAAGAAAGGCCAGCGGCATTTGAAGAATTGTGATGGGTTGCCTTTGGGATTACCAGGAACAGTCTTAGGGCTTCGTGCAGCAACCATGGCTACTCCAGTGGCTGAAGTGGCCATGAAGGGGTTCAAGGATCTGAGGTTTAGGGGGTAAAGGATTAAGATTGAGTGGGTACATCGTCCAAATCACATGTATGCATAGTTCAAGCTAAGGTTCGCACCCCCATGCTCAAACGAAACTTGGATATTTGTGCACTTCCTTTCCGGACGCCTCAATGGAGGAATCTTTGCAGACGATGCATTAGTCTGTCCAGCGGAACGTGTAGAGGTAGATCTCGTCGTCAGGATCTGGCCGAGCCGTAGGGGGTTGGAGAGGTGTAGGGCTTTGGGCTCAGCACAACCTCATTCCCGAACCCTAAGCCCTAAACCCTGAACCCTAAAAATCCTAAACCCAAAGCCCTACACCCCAAACCCCAATGTAACAGCAAACGCCATCCTGCTTCACGGCTACAACCTTAATGAGATGGGAGTCTCTCAAAATTGCCCTCTTGCATCCTGAACCCCGATAATCCCTTCATCTTCCTCAAGATCCCTAAGGGCCCCTTACTTAGGGTTTAGGGGATTAGGGGAGAAATCCTCCCCGGTAGAGTGCCTCCAAGCTCTTCATGATGCACTTCCATGCCAGCCTCAAGCACCCCCAAGCCCAGGCGTTCCGATCTTGGTACCCTTTAAGGGGCTTCTAAGGGTAACATAGGTCCCTGTCAGGTGGGTTATACGGTTAAGTTACCATAATATGGGTACGTAGGGTTTAGGGCTTAAGTTACCATATTCTGGGTATATAGTAAATAAAAGGGTCTCCTTATTATCGTAGCTTTTAGATTCCTTCCCGCAACCCAATTTAGGGGGATAAGCCAGAACAACAACTCTTCAGGGGCTCAGGGTTTCGGCTTCAGCAGGGTTTTAGACTCAAGCTCTTCCTGTGAAGCTCCCGTCCCACAGTAGGATCCTCCACATTGTAATAGTGGTCTTATAGGAATATAAGAAGACACCAATATGTTTCTCACTGTCCCTTATAGTCACGAAAACTGAGTGGGGTCCACCTAACCTGTTCCGGATCTTTTCACATCCAACAAGCAGCGAGGACACGGCGAAGAGTTCATATTTACGATAACCACCACATCTGCATAACTCACAAGCTTACTGGGGGTTCCTAGGGAACAAGGGAATTTAGTATATGTATGGATTATACAGGGATTCCCTGCCAACCATCAGTAAGCAAGAGTAGAAAGGCAAACGCGGAAGAGTCACAATCCTCATCAAGGCAGGATCAGCGACAACTAACCCGTATACCAGGTTTAGGGTTCGGGGTTTAGGGTTTAGGGTTTAGGGTTTAGGGTTTAGGGTTTAGGGTTTAGGGTTTAGGGTCAGGTTGAGTGAGGAAATCTTGCACGACTTCGACTCCCCAAAGTGCAGTGACACTTGGTCTACCGGGAACATGGATACCCTGAACCCTCAAAATCGCGAAATACCAGCGATGCTCCCAATATGCCCAGCCATGTGATCCCTAAGAATATCTGTGGCGTAATGCCACCAAATAAGATAAACTTTTGCCAGCTGAAAAAGGTCTATCGTCAGCAAAATTTTCCCCCCCAACATGGAACCCCAAAAGAGCCATATGAATACAAGGACGGCTTCCATGTTAGTATGGAGGATGCTCAAATCAAAGGCTCTTCATGATCCATCTGAAAGAAAACCTTCTGAAATGCCACTTGCTGGATTCGTCCTGTTGGCACAGGGGGGACCCTCGGGCTCGGCTTTCCAAACCTTTGACCCTTTGGGCATTAAGGTTTAGGAACCTAAAAGATACTTCCACACCCAACACCAGCCTCCTCCGCCCATCCGATGAAGTTCCCAATGGACTCCCAGTCTTCTCGAAATTCAAAGGCCAGCAGAAGCCTTCAATCAAAGGGCTTAGAGTTTATAGCTTACTGGGGGTGAGGCCGGAATAAGGGATATATGTTCTATAGGGGTTATAAAGAAAACTATATTCCCTTATTCCCTCGTAAGCACCAGTGAGATAGTTTATAATGGGAAGTATGATTTTGGATTCACGGACAGGATTTGATCAACAGACTTACACATTTCAGAATCATGGGTGTTGCACAAAAACCATAGGTTAGGCGTATATAGTGTGTCCAGAGGTTTGATAAAGTCCCACTTGTGGTTTACAGCTTAAGGTGTAGAGACTAGAGATGAAGGCATGAGGCTTCGCAGTATATCACACCACAGCTATATGAGCCATAGTCTAAACTCCTAGTATGCCCCTTAATGACCCCTATAGTAGTCCCATATATAATCCCCTATATAACCCCCTTTAAGGAGTTTAGACTATGGCTCATATAAAACTTACAAAGGAAAATTCCACCGGGCATTCAACTTCTGCATTTGTTTCCACGGGGCCGTAAGCCAGCAGAAAAAAGAGACTTGGAGGTTCTGTGCTTGAACCTAGGTAGGCATACTACTGTGATGTATAAGAGTAAGTATAACCGCATAGGATGCTACCCTGGTTATAAGTTGGGTCTTTCCCAACCTAGCTTTGGATTCAAGGTTGGCGAGTTCGAGGAACTCATCTACGACTGACGGCTTCGGCTGTAGAGTTGGTTGTTCTTGATGCCGGCCTTGCTGCACCATATGGGAATTCATCTAGAAATCCTAGCTATACATAGGGATTTGACAGGGATTTTCCTTGTAAGCATTCTGTGGGGATTGCTTGAAGAATTTCAAATGTGTAAGGCTGCTTTGAAGACCTGCACGACAGGTGCCGTACTGCTGTTGTTGAGCATGACGACGATTACCATGGCCATTGCTACTATCAACAAGAACCCCTGATTTGCAATCACCATCCCCCCGGTTATTAAAGACCCACCAAGCCTGATACTTAATACTCTCATTGTGATAGGTTCGAAGCCCTAAACCCTAAACCGCCACAAACACCCTTGGACCTGGAGTCCTTCGTTCGAGACAGCAGGGCTCTGCAGCTCTCGAAAAGCTTGTCCTGCACGTCACGCAGGGCTCACCAGCTACATGCTGTTTAGGGGTTTAGGGTTTAAGGTTTAGGGTTTAGGATTTAGGGGTTTAGGGTACTAGATAAAAATTGAGGGTTCAAGCCTTACGGCTGAGAATTGGGGATTAAGGACTTAAGGTCAAGGACTCAGGGCACTTAAGGTTCAGGCCAAAACCTACAAGGCGCTCCGAACTACCACACAACGAAGACTGGCAAGTTGACCACGGCTTAATTCCAGATATATGACTTGCTGAGCACACGACCTAGACATTACTGGACTCGTATGAGTGCTCTACCCAAAACTTTCCGCCCATTCTTGACCAGGGTTGTCACCGCCTCCGCAACCGCCACCAACAGGATGCTGCTACCCCGACCACTACAACCGTGCAGGTCCAGATCGAAGGACGACAAGATGATGTCGCTGCCGACAACGAGGTCGAAGCCCTGCGGATAACCTGCAACTGTGGAGTACAACAACAAACAGTTGCACACAAGGCGATGCCTTCTGCTTAAGAATGCTTACCCCGCCAAGAAGCATCGCTGATTCTGCTGATGTGCCAATGTAGGCCCCCAAGGCAGGGGCAAAAAGGCACCCGAACTCTGACTGCCACAAAAAAAACACGATGAGCAGGATCAGTGCGCGCACTGTCACTCGCACGAATACGACAAACCAGGACGACGATCATATTGCCAAAGGGATCGGAACAGTACGTCCGCCAGAATAACATGCGGGTAATTGTCGCGCTGAATTATGCAGGGATGATTATAGGGTTTATAAGGGGAAGATATGAGGAATCTAATGCAGGTTTCGGATGAATCTGCACGCACCCTTCTTGAGGCTGGACACACAGCCGTGTCCCTGGAACAAGAGCAAGGAAAGCCAGTGCCTGTGGACATTGCAGCTTTACGGCTCTTTCGTCCCCCACTACAAATTTAAGTTTGGCTCCCTTGACATGAAATAGAGGAATCGCAAAAATCACAAGGTGATCTAGAGCTGTGATAAAGTCCCAGCCATTGTCTTGTTTAATCTTTGTATACATATTATATACCCTATAAACAAACACTTACAAACAAAGTTGAAGGGCCCATAGTTAGGACCCAGGAAACAGGTAGGAGCCTACATTACCTAGCCCACACTACCTTAGGAAGAAAAAAGGTTCAGTCTGGCTTGAAAAAAGGATCCTTTGTACATAAGTAGAAGGAATCCCCCCTAAACCCTAAACCCTAAACCAATGGAAAGGATCCCTGACATTGATCCAGATTAGGGGCTCATACTTCCAACCTTAGACAGTAGGTTGTTGCTGCTGCCTGGGCCTGGCTCTCAAATAATATCCAAACAATGCTTGGAGGGTCAGGGGAGAGATAGAAAGTAAGGCAAGAATGGGCATATCTGGGAGTTATAAGTGTGCGCATATTTATATATATATATGTATGGCTTGTAAGAGCTATTACTTATGAGTATGCTTACTAAGTCCCTCTAACCCTGCAAGCAAGTGTTCCAGCAGCCAGCCTTCGAGAATCCGCTCGTGATCTGCCGCCAGACCCCATTCAAGCCTGTGCCAAGAACTGTAATCCCTTAGGAGGACCCCCCACCCTGTAATAGTGACTATAGGGGATAATAGGGACCATATTAGGGTCCTTTTATATCCCTAGTATTCCACTATTGCAGGGCGGGGGGTCCTCCTAAGTATTCCCCTAGACCTATAGTCCCCTTAAGTAGATAGAATATGGCTTTTGGTATATTATAATAAGGTCCCCATATACCCCATAGTCTAGCTACTTAAGGGGGACTATAGACCTATGGTAGACATGGTATCTTTAATCATTCCTTTGGGAAATACTCTCCAATAGATATGAAAAATAAATCCTAAGGAGACTACAGAGAATGGCAAAGGGCTTGGAGTTGGGGTCGAGGCCTACTCACGCCTTTTCGGGTTTAGGGTTTGCTGTAGATTCGGGACTTAGGGAGCCCTTATAGGGACCTTAGAAGCTTGAAGCCCAGCCCCTACCTAAGGACATGCAACTTCTGTCCAAACCTAGGCCCTAGACCCTAAACCCTAGTTGAAATACCGCAAAGCTCCCAGGATACCTGCACTGCAAGAGTCTCTGAAAGCTGGGTCAGAAAAATTTGGAGGGAATTTCAAGTCTTTGCATTAAAGGGCTATCTTCGTTCATCTAAGATCCGCGCCTGCCAACATCCAGGAGGATTGAATCCTGCACGCTGCACGCAAGAAGTCCATGTCGATCCCAAGTGCCTAAATCCTGAGCCCTTTAAAACTTCATCCCTATAACGTCTATACCCCTGATGTACCTCTATGTGACTTTAAGCCTATACCTTTGATATACCTCCTTTATGCCTATACCCCTGATATACCCCTAAGTGGAGGTTTCTGAATCCAAAGCTCTGGAGTCCGTGGTTTGCAGGTTTCCAGCACCACGTTAGATGTTCATAATCTGGCCTTCGGCTAGCCAGGAATGAAGGAACGGAAAAGGAAATGGAAACTACAATAATGGGTCATATGGGGACTACTATAAGGATCCATTCCTTCATTCCTAGCTAACCAAAGGCCAGTAATTTGGGTTACAAGCTCTGTGCAGATTTTTGGACTTGGGCTTTGCAAAAATGTTGGGTCCTCATAGGAAGGATTATAGTTCATCGGGATCTACACGGAGGACCACCTATTAGTGGAAGTTAAGGGTTTGAGGTTTTGAGGTGGGAGTTGGGAAGTGGAGGTTCAGTTTTGCAGTGGCTTAAATATGCGTCTTACCAGCTCCCCGAAACCAACATTGAAGGAAACTCCACATACGAAAACCGCCCAGTCATACAGTCCTGGTGTTTCCATTAGATTTTGCATAACGATCTCCAAAACAACCTTCTCACCCTCACATCCCCGAGAGAAACTGCATGCTCTGTACCGGTGTTATTCGCCGAGGCATCCAGCCTCAGGGCGTTCAGATCCCTTTAAAGCTCTACTTTGCCTTGCAAACACGCCTCAGCCCCCCCCCCCCCGCCATGGTG